GAAAGCTTGGTTTGTTACTAGTAGCCATGGCCTCCAACCTAATAGCGATGGTCTCCACCTAGTAGCTTCTAGTTGCTTGAAAGCTTCAAAGACATACTAGAAAGCTTGGTTTGTTACTAGTAGTCATGGCCTCCAATCTAATAGCGATGGTCTCCACCTAGTAGCTTCTAGTTGCCAGAAGGCTTCAAAGACATGTTGGAAAGCTGTGTTTGTTACTAGTAGCCATGGCCTCCAACCCACCTAGTAGCTTCTAGTTGCTAGAAAGCTTTATTGTTACTAAGGTTCTAATGTGTGTTGTTTGGCACCCTTGGGCTTCCAATCTCCCGGTCAAATGGTTTCTGCACGTGTGGCTTCCGGCACCTGACAGCTCCTTCCCACGACTCTAGGAGATCGGATGGCCGGCCTAGGTTTGTGCACCATGTCTTCGCAAGAAGTCACCAACAGTTTTTCATGTAGTTATACTATACAATACGCTACATTATGATATATGAATAGTACTAGTATTAGTTAAACTATATTAGTAATCTAATGATATTGTAATAATATTGCATATCCCATTATACTTGCAAGAATTTGCACGATCTTGCATTCTTGTGAAGGGGGCAGGCATGACTCCAATCTTGCATGGAGTCCTTTAGACATATATCAACACCTCAGTCCTTTACCCCGCATGCGCAAGATGGCCAGCCAACAGTCCAACCATGCTTGTCACAGTTGGCACATGTGTTCCACCATGGTTGTCCCAAAGCTGCGATGGTTTGGTCAAACCCTTTGTCCCTGTCGACCCGGTCAAAGGATCAAACTTCTGTCCAACGATCTTGGAACATGTTTGATCTGAGGATAATTAATCACTTTGCAACTTTGAACTATGTCGAGCAGCTTCAAAAGACTGTTTGCATGCTGAAAGTATATTACTTTCCCTCCCGAATGGAATCTCCCGGGATTTAAAACTATTTTGAAAGCCTAAGTACCCAACAGCACTGGTGTTGGGTTTCAATCTTTGGGCCTGGGAGAGCTTGCGAAGTAGATATGGGACTTTGACCGAAAATCCTGGGATCTCAAGAGACGGTCACAGGTCCGCCTCTCACGGTTGGAGCGCCAACTCTTGCACACCAGGTCAGCCAAGTGAGCCAAGTGAGCTGGGCCGACTCGCGGTCCTCGGACAACTCCATGGTGGATGTGAAGCAGGCCATTCAGAAGGGTTCCAACTCCATGGTACCGTCACAGCACAGAGGTCATGGTATGGGTTGGGACTGTACCAAAGCACCAATTTGGGAGTTGATGCTTCCTTGACATAAATTGGATTAGATAATTCGCATTAACATGAATCAACTTGATCTCAAAAGTCAGATCCCAAACAATGATATTTGAACGTTTTCCCTTGTACCAGAGATGTGATGGTTCTCCCTTAAGACGTCCCAAGTCACTCGGCCTTCGACGGACGGGCCCAACATTCCGTTGAAATAATGGCACCTGGCTCCACCATCATCGCAACGGTCGACACGATATATTATATAATATTGTATGTATGTCGTTGTCCTTCTGTTGTTACGTTATATACGTAGTATCGTCCTATTATTGTCCGATATACATGTCCTTCTGTTGGCCCATCAATCGACACGAAACATCAACATTGCTCGTCCCAGATTCGGAATGTGAAGGGCTGGCTGTGATCTGGTTTTGCTTAGGATACATACTTTGCCCAAATGGTTGACGACTCATCAATCCTCTTGTGGGGAATTGTGGGGAATATGCTGCGTCCAGTTTCTTAAACTAATCCAAGCATAGGTGGATGCCAGCTCTGGCATCAACTCTGGCATCACCAGCCCAATGGCCATGGACTTACATCGCATTGCCGCTCGCTGCAATTGATGGGTGGCGGGGAATCCAGCCCCAACAATCCATGGGACTGCAATATATATATATATTTAGCGTATATACCTACATGGTGGTTTGAGATGTTCCAAGGGTCCATGTAGGATGAATATTCACTTGGATTGTTGGGGCAAGGTCAGCCAGATTTTTGAAGCTGGAGATATTTTGGTGAGAATATGTGGTACGCAACGCATGAGTTGTGTGTTGCCAGTGACGACAGCGATATGTTTGGTCCAGCGGAACATGGACCTCCAAATGTTCGAGGAGTGGAACGTGAGGTCGGAGGGTTCGGGGCCGTAGAGAGCCCCTGCAAATATAGAAGACCGGAACAAACATAGGTTGGCCTCCGGTAGGTGGAAGCTGGATGAAGCTGGAAGTAGGTGGAAGCGTTCTGAAGGGGGCGTTAACTGCAGCCTACACGCTCAGCTGCCTTCCTGATCAAATCCTGAAATGATAGAGATGTCATGAGTCATAGCTTTCCTGCGCACAACGCGGGTCCCATTTGTTTGTTCCGTCAAATGATGTACTTGCCATCGTGATCCTGCGTGTTTATTCCAATATTCTTTCGAGGCTTCAAGGTTTTTGACCCACACATTTTTGTTGAGATGGTGTTTCCCGCTGTCCAACATGTCAAAATACCTCGGCAACCACAAGCTATGCATTCAAAAAGACCTCCAGGATGACTAGAGATAGGCAGACACAGTCGGACAGACATAGATCGACACGATTCAGACCTTAAGAAAACAGAAACCGATGCCTTGGCAGAGTGATTTTGGTACGCAGGTCCCACTGATTTTAGTGTTGGGACAAGAACGAAATTCGCCTGAAACCGGGGGGCGGCCACCCAGAAACCGGGACTCCTTCTTCCATCCTGTTGGGTTTTCTCAATGTCCTTAGGAGCTACATGAACTTTGGAAGCAGGACGACGAGATGCTGAAGAGCAGGATGACTGGGAGGGTTATGACATGTCACACAGATGTTGGACTTTTTGTTGGGGGGACGGACTTGTTTCTGGGGGTATGGACATTCATGGCACATGAGGAAACCAAACATTGCTCATTGCTCAAAACTCCTGTGAAAAACATGGAGCAAGCGAGAGAAAATATGTGTTGGCACACCCTGCCGCTGCCGAAAATAAAAGAGGGGCTAGAAGCATGGAACTGCTCATGTTCCAAATCATCTACTTCGTAAGTGGAAACAATCCCGCTTTTCTTGTTGCAATACGACTACTGTATATAGGGCAGGGAGCCAACATATGCATGCAATCCCCCTGCACGTTTCGGGTATAGAATGGGACAGGTTGACCACTGAGATAAGGCATGTTTCAATAGTTGAGGTCCACTTTGTGGTCTTTAACTACTGTAAAGAATGGATAACACAACTTCACCCTTTATATATTTAATAGATACATAAATTCAAGTAAATTCACGTTCCGCAGATTGGTGTTTGGTGTTTATGGATGTTTTCGGTACGTTTTTCCTGCACGGAAGGAGGAATTTGGACAGTGTTCTGCTTTTCTCCGCTCGATTGAACGGTTCGCCAGTATTTTGCCAGTGACGGGGTTTGCACCGGCGGCAAAGAGGGAGAATGATCTGTCAAACAGACAGGGGACCTCTCAAACAGACTGACACGACATGCCGTCTCGCATCGCAGTCTTCCACGACTCGTGCTGGGGCCGTTAGATGCTTGTTTGACTGGGACAAAGGTCAGGATCCATTGCCAACACGGACGGTCCTGCTGGACGGTGAGGGAAGGTCGGTTAGTTTATTGTCCGCTCCTTGGGACAGGAACACCAGCAAGACGGTGAAGAAGCTCAAAGTGAGGTGCGCAAGACGCTGATGGTTTGGGCTTCGAAAGTGTAGCTGGGCTTCGTAAGTGGAGCTGTTGATTGTTTGCCAGCGATGGCTGATGGTGGTGAAGATATTGTCAGTCATCACATTCTATCACAAAGCAACCTTTGTGGAAAGCCGGAATGAGCTGCCCATTTTGGATGTGGCATGTCAGAGAGTCTGATGTTGAAGAAAAATACATGACACTACGCGCCTCAGTTCTATAGAGGCTGTATGAGCTGACAAGGAGATTCTTTCAATCTAAGAAATACTGATTTTATTGTGGAGCGAGTGTGGGTGACTTTGTTCAATCATCATGTTGAGATACTATAGAATTGTTCTAGCCTTCATTCAGGAATGGGTTTGTACCGGTACTGGAACCAAGTACTTGTAGTCAGATGTTGCAACCCAAAGCCTGCAATTTTATAGAGGCCCAATTCACCCAGACTGTATGTGTTCAAGAGTAATGTAGACCTTTGATTTATAAACGACCCTAGAATAATGTCACTTTTTTTCCTGCACAGATTTATAAAGGCCCCCAGAATAATGTATTTT